TTGCCGTTTCCCCAGCCTCGCCTCCCCCCACGACCCCCTCTTCACCAGCAGCCCCCCCTGGAGGAGAGTCACCCCCGAGCGTGGCCCACACGGAGCAGCGCAGCCAAGGACATGGCAGCCAGGCAGTGTAGACAAGACTGCCCTCAGGCCCCACCCCGCACAGTTGATGCTGCGGGGCGCAGGCAGAGGGCGTGGCTGCCATGGTGCTGCTGGGCTGCCTGGGCGATCTGCGGCGGGCCCTGGAGGCAGTGAGTGGCCCTGCAGGCAGGCGGGGTGGGGGACGGAGTGGAGGACAGGGCAGGGGGTGGAGCGGAGGCAGGGCCAGTTTTTGGGCACTCAGTCTCTAAAAGGTTCGCCATCACTGTTCTAGGCTATTAAACCTGCCTAATAACAGCCAGTGATGAAAGATGATGAGATATTAGAGCGCATGGTGGGCCACACGTAGCCTGCACTTGCTCCAAAATGTAATATTTTCAGACACTTTCCACAGTTGATTAGAGTATTAATTTTTGAAACTCCAGTACGATTTTAGAAGTCTTTAATACATTTGCCTTTTTATCTTTCATTTTAGGTCTCTGCTGAAGAAATTTCACTCTTGTGGTCAGAACTTGCTGTTGCTGCTTTTCAGGCTTTCTGGAGCAGCACAGTAACTACAGGCCCCGAGCGTTGGCTGTCCTGGCAGCCATTTTCTGTGGAAGAGAAGATGCTATCCAGCTCATTATTGAATTCCTCTACCCAGGTTTGTGTGGGAAAGTATAACATCCTCAAAAGGGTGGTTCAGTTATAGCAGTTTATTCTTTCCCAAGGATACGTGCAATAATTTGCAAATCTGAATAATGGCTTAGACAAGCTTTGTTATCATAACAAGAGTTCAGATAAAGAATTGTTTAGATTCTTTTTAACATTTTGCAGAATATTGTACATATTTTTACATTTGATTACCTGTGCCTTTTTTGTGTGTGTGGATGACTCCATTTTATCTTCCCTCCCATCTATTTCACCCAATATTCTATTTCACAATTTTCCCTATATGTCTTTCTATCCTGGGATGGGATGGCTCAGCAGTTAAAAGACACTGAGTTTGTCAGCTGGAGAGCTGGCAGCCCGGGTTCGAGACCTGAGCTCTGTTCAATGGGGTGAGCTCCCGTTACTTGCCTCAGCTCTTGCCCACCTAGCATTTCGAAAGCAGGCAAAGGCAAGTAGATTTGATGGGAAGGTAATAGCGTTTTGTGTGCCTTTGGCATACAGCTGTGCTGGTCACATGACCACGGAAATTGTCTTCGGACAATCCTGGCTCCCTCCGCCAAGAAACGGAGATGAGCACCCTGCCCAAGAGTCGAACACAACAAACAGGGACACCTTTACCTTTTTTCATCCTATCCCTATTGAGCATGCTCACTGGACTGACTTTTGTGGTTCCTTTACTTGAAATAGTTTTCTACAGATAGACACTTGACTAAAATTGTATTGCTGGAAGATTCAAATTAGAAATGTGCTTTCTACTAGTTTATAGGAATTAAGAGTTCTCATTTTCTTGCACGGGATGCTGTAGTACTTGTTAGACTTGAATCCACTTAATGTTGTTTTTTTTACAGCTGGGTCATTTTTAAAATCTGTTTTGTCCACGATTCTTTGTCTGCTTAATTTTGCTCCTAATCAATTAATGCACCATTAATTATCTCTTGATAATTGGGTGTCAAAGATATTTCTAAGAATAATCCTTGCTACAACTTCACATTCTGCTCATTTTCTTAAATTAAAATGAGTTTTCAGTGTATTTGGCCAGTGAAAACCACTGATTGGAGAGAATGTAGGAAATTGGGGATGCAATAGAATAATGGTCTCTCTCTCTCTCTCCTCTTTCCAATTTATATATTGATGATCAGGATCCCCTCACCCATTATAACAGTTTTCTTAATCACAGGTTTTTTTTAACCATCTTCCATAGGAAATAATTACTATATGAGGCAAAGGGGATTTGCAACATTTGGGATATCGGGACAGAAAAAGGCCGTGCATGTTAGCTCTCCCTGATTACAATTAGTCTTAAGGTTGTGGACTTAACCTCTTAATGTTATATGATTATCTTAATGTTATATGATTACCAGTGTTTTAAATGTGCATTTTGATTTTCATTAATTTAGGGTGTGGGTATTTTGAATCGAGCAGTTTTCTCCAAGTGCCTCTCTGAAATTCTAACCAGTAGCAACAAGTGGAGCCAATGGGACACAACGGGTCTTCCTCTTCTGTCAGCCTCCAGGGTGACCTTGGGAGAGTGCCTGGAAAAAGCAGAGCAGCTTCAGGAGATCAGTAAAGTTTTGTGGACCAATGCAGCTTTTTCTTCAGTGGCTGAATTTAGGTATTAAAAAAGACTGTTCCTTCACTTTTGTTCCTTTAAATCTTTAATCCCTTAGATTATTAATCTTAAAAAGAAGCATCTCTAAAAACGTCTCAGGGGTTAAACTTTTGACGCTGCCTCTGTTGTTAGCAGGAGACCAGTTGATTCTTCTGCAGTAGCCAGATTTATGTTCTGTTGTTGCTCGCTGTTTCATAACCCTGATTTCCTTCTTTCAGGCTTACAGATTCAAGGTTTCAGCGTGTAATGTTACACAGGCAACTCCTGGCCCTTAAAGATTTGATTCCAGCAGAGATGCGAGAGGAATATCTCCAAAACTGTAACAAGGTTTTTTCAAAGGACTTGGTGGCCCTTCAGTATATTTGCAAAGTACTCAAGGATGTTGGTGCCCAAGAGATGATGCCTGAACAGATCCTTTGTCTCTGGATTACTTGTGTTCAGCAATTCTGTGGACAGGAAGTTGGGCTCCATAACTTGCCTGAAGCAGCTCAACGTGGGAGCCTCTGGGTAAATCTAGGTCTTCTGCAGATCTATCTTTGGCTTCCTCAGACCACGTTTGATCCTGCGGTGAAAAGAAAATATAAACTCAAGTACGCAATAGAAGAGGTGAGTGTTTGAAGCTAATGCATGTTTCCTTGCCTTGCAGTTTGGATGTATTAAATGGATTAAAAGGCTGATCTGTAGCAATAGATAACAAATAAATAGGTGATAAGGCAACAGGAGGAGTTAGCCATCGTATGGAGAAAAAAAGCAACATAACATTTAAAATGCAAAGTACATTAATCTTATCGGAAATAAGGATAAAGACCTTACTGATTTTCGAAAACATACTTGAGTAATTACAAAGACAGGATGATCCATATAGGATGAATAAGGCTGTGCATAAATGCACAAAACTTGAAATACTGTTCTTACTCATAAAATGTGGGAACCGACGAAGGTTCCTTACAATTTGATGCAAATAGCAGAATTTGAAGCCAATAGCGCTTCTTCATCATCAGATACTGTTATTTAGAAGCATGTTTTTAGAAATAATTAAAATTATCTGATGTGTCTAATTGTCTAACGAGATTTGCAAATGCCTATATCATCAGTACATTCTGGTGCATCATAATAGTGTTGTTCAATTGCTTTATTGAAGCAATAGTAAAGTAGGTATTTGAATCATGTCTGTTTTTCTCTAATGCTTCCAGTTGCATCATCTGGAATGTGAGTGGAAAACACAGAAACTGTCCACTCAGCTACGTACAGGGAAAGATCTTGAAGATGAGCCCATCAACAGTCATGGTCACCCTCATATTAGGTACACTTGAGATTCAGTACGGTACAACTGATGCAATTCTGGGACTTTGTATGTTCAACTTGTTTCCATCTTCAAAAGAACGATTGTAAATGGCTGAAGTAATCCATTTGGGCCTTTGGTTCGAGTTGGTATTCTTTTTATATTGCTGGGATCTTTTAAGTTGTCATTTGGTTGGTGAATAAAAGGGAAAGATATTTTTTGTAAGAAGAAGCCACTTAATATGATTCTCTTCTATCTGATGTATTGATTTTAAAAAGCATTATTATTATTATTATTATTATTATTATTTAGAAAACTGTAGGATTTGTCTGTGTTCTTCATATTAAAAAAAGAACAGTCAATAATAGAAATCAGAGATTAAGCACTTGGACAAATACTTAATTTTATCCGAGTAGCCTTAATAATACTATTGGTAACAGGGTTTAAATCTTTCTGCATCTCCTTCCTTCTCAGGTTGCTATGCCAAAGAATCCAAAAGCTGAAAGATCAGATTGCCAGCCTTGATCAAAAGCAAGCTTTTCGACCCCAGATTCCTTTGTTTGAATCCTTATATCAAGAAGTTCATCAGTATGTTGGCAGCATTGCCCAGATTTCAAAAGTCCAGGATCTCATGACTCGCCTTCTGCAGCTGCTCCGTGCAGACAAGTCCCAGGGGGTGCAGAATGTGCTAAATGAAGAAGCAGCTTGGCAGAAGTCACACCATCAGTTCAGGAGACATTTGGAAGAGACCTACGCCGCCTTCCCCGATGTAGTCGTTCCTCTGCAAGCGGCCATTTTGCAGATGCAGCATGGCCTGAGGCTGGTAGCTTCTGAAGTCCACAAGGCCACTCTTGACAGTTTTGTCAGTCCAGCCAAACTGGGAAGCCTTGTTGTCTCTCTGCTTTCGTTCCCTTCCATTGGTAGCACTTTCCCTACATACCTCTCCCATGCAGATACATTGTGTTCTGTGAGCTCTCTGGACGTCCTCCGTGGCCTGAAGAGGTTATCTCTGAAATACATCGCTGAAGAGTCTGAGAAAGCACAAAAGATGTGCCTTACCCAGGAGCAGCTGCTGGTGAATGCTTTGTTATATCTCCAGTGCCACGTGTTGTCCAAGGGAGGAGTGGACCATACGTCTCTGCTGCTTTTTAGGCATTTGTTTCAGGTATTCTGTCTGTCTGTCTAATCTATCTGTGTGTCTATTCATCCATCTAAACAATCTATATGGCCAGCCATCTCAAAGTAATGACTCTGGGTAGCATAGCACACCAAATGTTATTTAGCTTTAGAACCTTAGGAGGGAAATAATCCTAATTTTCTCAGGGATTTATTCCAAAATATAAGTTATAGTGGAGACTGAGGCCATTTGGTAAACAAAAGACAATTTTAAGTTATTTTTAAATATATATGTGAATTTTATTAAAACGTATTTAACAAAATAGTGTGGATTAAAATTTAAAAGATTTAAAAATTGAAATAAGGGTATGCATGCATTCACAGAGAGAGAGAGAGAGAAATATTTGAAAAGGCAGTATCTATGCAGAGAAAGAGCAGCACACACATGGGCATTTGCCATCCTTTAGAGCAGACATGTCAAACACAAGGCCCCCTCTGCCTTGGTCCTGGCCCAGGCCAGCCGGGAGCCAATGTACAATTTTGTGGTGGCCATCTATGCTGAAACATATTCAGTCTTAGCTCCATAAGCCCCCCTCCCTGTATGGCCTGAGAGGAACAGTGAGGCTCCTCCAGTGGACCATGCCTTGGCACTTGCCCCGTTTCCACCCCCTTCTGCCAGAGACCCTCAGATCTATCCCACTCCTGCCCAGGCCCCCACAGGCACCCTTGACACGAACAATGTAGAGCTGGCCACACCCACCCAGTAGGCCACACCCACTCCATCCACACCCACCCAGTAGGCCGCACCCACCCTGGCCACACCAACCCAGCCCCCTGAGGGCAACCGCAATGCTGATGCGGCCCTCAATGAAATTGAGTTTGACACCCCTGCTTTAGAGGCATATATTGTTAGATGTTCCCTTTTTTTACCATCCCACCTATAAAGGGAGGTGGAGATAGGGAGGTGGTGGGGTTCTTTTTGGCAATGTATTTGTCCCAAGCTACTCTATGAAAAGGTCTTGTGCCTTAACTCAAGATATATGTATAATTTGTATTTGTCCTTACTTCATAGGTAATTATAAATGAATGGGATGAGCAAGAGCGCCAAGCCCAAGAGGAAGAGGAACAAAAGAACAGTCTTTATCGCTATAAGACCAAGAGCCATGGAAGTGGCCTGAGTGAGGAGGAGGAGGAAGAGAGAGAGTTCAGAAGGAAATTCCCTCTTCATGAAAAGGTAGGCAGGCAGCTAATGAAAAGTCTGTCTGAGAGTTTTCCACTGTGGTGCTTCTGTTCTTCATGGGAAATAATAATGTCCCATTTTACACTTCTACTTTATCAATATGCATGATCAACTTCTAATCTTAAGACATGATGTGATAAATTTGTACTAAACATATGTTTTAATAAAACTCTTAACAGGACTTTGAAGATATTACAGCTCAGGAAACTCTTGAGGGGAAAATGGAAACAGAAGAAGCAGCTTTAGAAGAAGCAGCTCTCCCTGAAAAAACTCTTCTTTCTCATCACTCAGTGAAAACAGTAATGATGGTTCATCGGCAACTTTGTCTTTCCTTTGCCCAATCTTTGTGGTATCAACAAAACACACCACCCAATCAAACTAAACATCAGTTGAGCCTGTTTCTTTCCTGTTACCAGACCGGTGTTTCACTGATCGCTCACTTTTATCCCTTGATTGGTAAGGCTTCTCTGATTTGTTTCCAGATATAAGATTCCAATAGCTTTTCTTTCCGAGGGCACTTTGGTTTGTCCACTTTTGGGGGAGGAAGAATTATAGTAGATTCTAGGACGTAAATAATTTGTATAGTGCAGTGATGTCGAACCTTTTAGAGACCAAGTGCCCCCAAACCAGCCCCGCCCCCTCCCCGCCTGCTCTGCCCCCGCCCACCCGCAGGGCCACCCACCGCCTCCACGGCCCGCTGCAGCAGATCACCCAGGTGACCCAGCAGCACCATGGCGGCCATGCCCTCCGCCACACCCTGCAGCATCATCGCGCGATGGGGCGCGAGGGCAGAGTCTTGTCCCCGCTGCCCGGCTGCCATGTCCTTGGCTGTGTTGCTCCGCGCGGACCTTGCTCAGGATCTCCTGCGGGGAGGCTGCTGGTGAGGGGGAAGCGGGGCTGGGGCAACGGCGCACGTGCCCACAGAGAGGGCTCCAAGTGCCGCCTCTGGCACACATGCCATAGGTTCGCCACCACCGGTATAGAGCATGTTGATCACTGATACAAACTGAGTGTAGTGTGAAGTGCTGGCCAGGAATGGGAAGTTTCAGATTTAAGTGCCAACCTGATCTTAGAATACACTGATTGACATAGGGGAACCATTACCGCAAACTTTTTCACAGGATTATTGTTGGGATAAAAAGGGGAGGAAACTTACTGTGTAAGTTATCTGGTGCTCTCAGAGAAAAAGAGGGGACCTACATGCCATAAATAAACAATACATTATTTTTAACAATAATTTCTATTGTTAGTATTGTATACAATAATTTGTATTGCTTTATTTTTAACCATATTTTAGTAATGCTATTTTGCCAATGTGGTAGTGGCAAGAAAATAGGGTGTATAGAAAGAGTTTTTGACTTACAACTCTTTATTTAGCAAATATTTGAAGTTATTATGAAGATAGTTAAGACCTGTTACTGAACTTACAACTGTTGCAATGCTCCCACAATCATGTGATTGTGGTTTGGATGCTTTGCAGCCTGTTCACGCTTACAAACAGTTGTCAAGTCCCTGCAGGCATNTGCCAGGATTGCAAGACTGCATGTAGACTGTGACTTGAAGGCAGACAGCCAAACACCTCTCTCACCTCTAATTCAGACAGCATTTTATTAACAAGGGAGACCAGTTAAAGCTCACTGGGTCACACTGGCAGCATATAAAAAGTGTGATTATATTTAAAATACAGTTAATCCTTATTTAGCAACTACAATTGATACTGGTAACTTGGTCATTAAGCAAAGCAATTGCTAAGTAAAACCACAACTGTGTTTGCAACCTTATTTCAGTTCTCTTTGCTTTACAGACCTGTGAAGGTCGTAAGTTGCAGGCATGGACCACAAAGTTATTTTTTCAATACTCATAACTGTGAATGGTCACTAAATGAAGCAAATTGCTAAATGAGGATTACCTGTATAAAGTGTTCCCCTCTCCCGTGCATTCCAGACACTGTTAACAGTTCCAAACAACTGGAAAGCAGTTGATTGAGAAAGGCTAGCACAGACAGTGTGAAAAGAATGGCTTTTTATCATCTTCTGCAATTTACTTGAAAGGTACCACTTTGTTTTGTAGGATTGGGAAGAGAACGCTAGCCAAGCTGTGTCTCTGAGGAAACATCTTGATCTCATCACTCAGATGATCATTCAGTGGCGAAAGCTAGAATTGAAGTATGTACAGTTACAGTAGTTTCCTTTTTCATTGCTTTTTCTTTATTTCTTTATTTAAATGGGAATAGTTGACCCCAATCTTATAAAGATCCTAGGACGTGTTACAGGAAAAAACACTACAGGTAGTCCTGGGTTAACTACAGTATTAGGACCAGAATTTCTGTTACTAAGCAATGCATTCATAAAGCACAACATAATGTGCTTAGCAGCAGCGATCCTGGCAGCCCCAGTTGTTGTCATTAAGTGAGTTGTGGGTTGTTTATCAAGCAACTTTTTGCAACTTCTTGTCAGCTTCCAATACGTAGTCATTGGGAAAGCGGACAGGAAGTCACAAGTATTAGGTGGCTTGCAAGCAGGCCATCCAGTGGGTAAATGACTGCTAGGGCCCAGAAGTGAGTTCAGCCAGGCCAAGGGTGGCTGCTGCTGGCAGGAGGGCGGCTACTAGTTGAGGCACCCTATGCTCTGTCACCCCTAAATTACCACTGCCGTCTTCTGACTCTGGCTTCTGACAAGGCATGCCCAACCTGGCCCTTTGAGAAACCATAGCTGCCCCAGCGAAGTGCCATGTTGTAAAGCTGCAAACGTCCCAGCCCAGCATCAAGACACGAAACTGCAGCTGCCTCAGCCTGCCCACAGCCTAGGAAAGAAGGCCTTGTGCAGCCAGCAGTTGTTCATAGCTTATTAGCAGTCGGAGCAGAAAGAGGGCAAAGTTCATCAGGGTAGTGTTCCAGGGGCCTTGGAGTTCTGGGAAGCTGCAGATGGAGCAGCAGGGTCTTTGCAGCATGGGGGTAGGCTGGACTGAAACAGTTGGGGCTTTCACTGCAGGGCTGGAGTGAACTGGGATGGCCATGGCTTCATATCTTGTTGCTGAGGTCAATGGAGTACAGGTTGGCAGGACCTGCGTAGTGTGTGCATATGGCTGGGGGCAGTGGTTGTTGAAGCACACCCTGCAGTCGTAAAAGATCACGTGACTGCAGGGGCACTCCAGTGACTGGATGTAAATATTATTCGTTCAATGCTATTGCAGCTTTGAACAGTCACTAAATATATGATTAAGTAAGGTCTACCTGAAAAATAAAATAAAAATAAGCAATTCTTCAATATATTAAAAAAACAATAACCATAATAAAGTAATGAAAAGGCCTAGATTTCTTTACAACAAACAGTAGGACTTGCCAAACTGTGATTAACCTGAAGGCTAGAATTTTTTTTTTTAAAAAAGGTCTTCACTCGGTGTTGGATAAACAAATAACTCTTATTTGGGATAAACTGTAGGAGAAAGGATAGCAGAAACTGGTGATGGAGTGAAAAGGGAGATCAGCTTAGAATCCCTACATAGCCACAAGGGAACTAAGTCCAATACCCACCCACCTCTTGAGTGCCATTGCCCCTTTAAGCAAGTGCCAGATGTTAGTTGAGAGGATTCCTGTGCATAGGCTTTTAGCATAAATCAATTTCATTGAACCTTCACGTCTGGAACTGGTCTTTCATATAAAGCATCAAACTTTTTTTCTTCTTCTCATGTTTTCAGTTGTTGGTCTGCTAGTCTGGATAATGTAATGAAACAGTACACAGAAAAGTCAATGAAGCACTGGTTTTCCCTCTATCAGATGGTTGAAAAACACCAACAAGAACAGTCAGAGAGAAAAACTGAAGGTAACGAAATATTCATGTAGTAAAATGGGCTGTTTAAAAAGCTAAATTTTTATGTAGTAAAACAAGCTGTTAATAGAAGCCACTGCTGGAGAGTTAACTTTACCCAATGAAAAAGATGTATCTCTATGAAGGAGATAAATTAATATAACAAAGAGTTCCATAGTTTGTATATTTGTAACTACATTGGTGGATGAACTATAACAAATTGAAATCAAATTGAACTGAGTAATGTGATTTAATTATATCATTGTTCCTTATATTTGCACTAAAGAAATACAGGGGGGCAGGGGTTTTGTACTGCCTGTATTGGAAATCTTCAACATTAAAACAGCTTCAATAATGTGTTTTTCTCATTTTTCTGCTGCCCATTAATCTCTTACAATTCCAACTTCTTGAAATTGATAGAAGTTAATTTAGCATCTGTGGTCGATACACTGAAACTTTTCATAGAAGGATCCACATTGGGGGAATTTCATACAAGACTGCAAATGCTTTTAGAATTCCACTGCCATGTCTTGTTGATGACACAAAAGGAAGAAAATAGTAAGTACTGTTTGTTTGTTTTTGTTCCTTGGATCAGGGTTAGCAAACAAATCTAGGTACAAAATATTTAGATATTAAGACAGTAAAGTATGTTTTCTCCCTATTTGATGCAAAGGAGTAGTCTAATCATTACAAAACTTCCTGCAGCATCTATCTACTTAGTAAACAGAGTCCCCAACCAAGACCTTTCCAAAGTTCTGTTTTGACTTCCAATTCCCATCAGTCTTCATTAGCACAGTCCATTAAAGTCATTATTTTTATTTCTTTAAATAAGCACCCACAACCTAGAGAATCTCATTTACATTTGATTTTTTGTTTTATTTTACAAGGTTGATCAGTCATAAAAAGCTTGACTTAACTGTCGTATTCAGTTAGCTAATATTTTCTCCAATTAGAGTTGCGTGGTATTTCATAGAATGTGTTCCATAACAAATCAAATTAGGTTGTATCTAGAAAACCATTTCTAGTGTGGAAGTGCATATGATTGATTCTGAATACTTAGATAACCATTTTAAGTGGTAAACTAGATGTATTACTTCAATAATAAAGTAAGTTTATCAACTTCGTTTGCCAATGAATTGGCAAATACTAGTAGCAGTATTATCTGAAGAATAACTCTAACTCCCTTTTTATGACCCTTTGTTCGGAATAGAGTTCAGGGCGATTGGGTGGAGTTGAGCGTTTACTAGCAGATGCCCTTCCTGATGCCACACAGAATTTGCAGGAGATATTTTTTCTTTGCGCCCTAGGAGAAACATCGTGTAATGATTAAGTTGCTGGGTCCAATTGTGGTTGTTACTTGCAGTACTTTGCAGTATGTTTTTTAAGACATAATAATAAATGAAGTTACTAGTAACCTTCCGAATGGGAGGCAAGTGTCTTCACCACTGGGCCACCTCGCCACTCTTAGCAATATTATCTAAGAATATAACGAAGTTATTCATTGCATTTCTTTTTTTCTTAGCTTATTCTTTTATTCAATGAGGCTAATATTTAACATGTCTAGTGTAAACATAGTTAATATTTGTTGTTGCAGCACAAGATGGCTTTTTATGGATAACTTTTAAAATTGTTCCATGATAGTCTTTCAGAGTAAGACTTTTTCACCCATTGGCACGATCTTTTTACAAACTGATAATTAAATGAGATTTGTTTTCCTCATAGTTGGATGCCAAACTGATTTATGAAAATACAGCTCTTACTCTAGTTTGGGACTAAATCTAAATAATGCTGTGGTATTCATAATAGCTTTTTTTCCTTTTTAGATGTGCTGTGCAATGTATTATGGAATATATATAAATATTATAAGCAATTTTCAGAATCTGTCCATGCCAAGCTGATTGAACTGCGACGTCCCATAGAAAAAGAACTGAAGGTGAGGATGAGATACTTAAGTATGATGACAGTTGTCTAATTCCTGACATTCAGATATCGATAAAAGGATCATATTTTTTCTTTAAACTGGAAACATGAAATCACATTACAGATAGTTTTTACATAGTGACCGTCCATAATTTAAAAAAATTACTTTGCGACCAATCCTCACATTTATGAATTTTGCAGGTCTGTGAAGCAAAGGAAAGCTGAAGTATGTTAATAAACACAGTTGTAGTTTCACTTGGTGACTGCTTTGCGTAATGATTAAGTTGCTGGGTCCAATTGTGGTTGCTAAGTGAGGACTAATTGCAGTACTTTGCAGTGTACTTTTAAGACATAATCATAAATGAAGTTAATTTGTTTTCCCTTGTAGGAGTTTGTGAAAATCTCAAGGTGGAATGATGTCAGCTTTTGGGCTGTAAAACAATCTGTAGAAAAGACACACAGGTAAATAACGTTCTGGTAAAAACTCCCATTTTGGGCATTCATTGAGATCTCCCTTTTCTTCTTTCAACCTATTGTTTTCTTCTTTAGAACCAACTATGCAAAGTATTAAGAAAAGACAGACAAACAATTGAACAAAATTCAACAATTGTCTCACAGATCATTGTGCCCAATGCATATATTACAAGGCATAACAAATCAACAAAATTATAGTAGGATCTAACTAGCCTGCCTGTTGCAGGCTGATAATAGAAACTTCCATTTCAAATTGAACTGGAATAAAAACCTAATAAAAGTGTGCAATATTAGCTGTGTTTACACAATTCTGTCAGAATCTTCATTTTTTATTGAACGAACCACCATTCATAACAATAAACCATATTTGATTAGGTTCACATATGGTGCTGAGCCAAGAACAAATAAACCATATTCTTGTTTAGTGTTATGTGCAAACCCTAACATTACATACAAAGCTTGAATAATGCCTTTCACTTGGACTATATTTTAAAGATACTGAAAAGATAAACGTATGTCTGCTGTTCTCCTAGTTTTCACCTTTGATTTTCCTCTAGGACGCTGTTTAAATTTATGAAGAAATTTGAAGCTGCTCTTGGGGAACCTTGTCAGTCCGCCTTGGTGGAAATGCCTAAAGAAGAACAACTCATTACCCTGCAGGAACAAAAAACACCAGAGAATGTTGAAACTAATATTCAGAACCTAAACAATATACTGAGGAAACACCTAACTGTAAAATTAAATGCTACTCAGGTACCTGTGGCTATTTGTTATGATGAAATAGAGCAGACATGTCAAACTCAAGGCCTGTGGGCCAGATCTGGCCTGTGATATGTTTAGATCTGGCCCACAAGCACACTAGTAGGAGGAGGTGATTGAGTATGTTGCAAGGGGGTGAGTTGAAGCAGCGGCAGCACCAGAAAAGCCTGGAGGAGAGTTAGCCGGAGCTGCGGTGTTGCTGAGGTTCTGCTGAGGCCCTGGGATTGGCGCGCATGGCTCCAGTTGATCGGGGCTTCCGGCAGCCACATCCAGTCTTCGGAGGAAGAATCAGCTGGAGCTGTGGGGCTGCTGGGGCTTCGCGGGGACCCCAGAATCAGTGCATGCAGCTCCAGCTGATGAGCACTGCGTGAAAAGGCCAGCTGGGCAGTGAGTGAACGCATGGGGGATGTGAGGAGAGGACATAAAAGGAGGGGTTTTGACGGGAGGGAGGAGGAGTGAGGAGAAGGAGATAAGGGGGAGAGGAGAGATGCCGGTATTTGTATTTGTATTGTGGTTTTTATGAGGCTGTTAGCCGCCCTGAGTCCCATGAGGAGAAGGGCGGGGTACAAATTAAATTAATAAATTAATAAATAAAGCCTGAGGGAGAGAAGGGGACAGCAACTGGCCCTTTGAGGGCAACCATAATGCTGATGCGACCCTCAATGAAATTGAGTTTGACACCCTGAAACAGTATTAAACATTTTTTTATACAGTACATTGGATTCTTTCTGTGTTCAAAGAGTACTATTTCCAGTTAATTATTTATGTGGCAGGTATAGATGAGATTTTCCTAGAGCATCAACAGCACATAGTTCACTATGTCATTCCAAATTTCAGAACTGAAGTTGCATGTTGACCTTCCCGTGTTCAAAAAAGTTGGAAGTATGAAGGAAAATATCCTATTCTGGTTATCTGAGATGGTGGACATCTCTTTGGAAAATGTTTGTTTCATTAGTAAGCAATCGAACTACTCAGACTACTGCCCCAGTCTATTCCTGTTTAAAGGAGTAGATTTCAGGAACTAACAGCTGGCAGTTTGGAGTAGATGTCTCATTTTACTGAGTAACATCTTTGATTTTTATAAGTATAAATGAATCCAAGGAATTGGCGTTCTAATCAAGATGAATATCTGTTCTGTCCTCACAAAACATTACCCTGTCTGTAGCTCCACATGCAGCTAAACCCACCTGTCCTTCAAAAACTAGATCACAAGTGTAGAACTTGATGCTTTATTAAAGTAACAGGAGGGTGAAACTGGGAAAAATAGAAATACATACAGTAAGAACCCAAATACAAAATAAACAGTTTGAGTTGCTGGTGAGCATAACAAATTAGCAAATACAGATAAAGTTCAAGTCTCACCAGTGATGCTATGTACAGTATATGGGACATGGATTTTGTCTTCCGATGAATATGTGTCACAGATTAAGCTGGGTTCTTCAAGAGGCTTCTGTTTCCTTAAAATGTTAGAAAATGGAATCTGGTTTCTTGGGGATGCACCTTTTTTTTCCAGAATGAGGAAGGATGGGTACTCTGTAGGGTAAAAACACTACTAAACCCACTTTCTAAACAATGAAAGATTTTTCTTTGGCCACTAGATGATGCTGAATACATGTTAGAGAACAATAACAGTATATACATATACAAACCCTATACTGAAGCCATGACAATATCTATAGTGTAACTTTTTGATCTTGGTAAATACCAGCTAGATGTCAAATTGACTGCCCCATTATTATATCTGATGTTTCAACTTTTATCTTGAAGCTAGTAACTGTTGATAGGTCCATGTATGTGCCAAAAACACAAAGGTTTCGGTTGTGCTGATCTTCCTGTTGTGAACATTTCCCAGGGTCTTCATTTGGAAAACTTCCAGGAGTGTGCATTTCATCCAGAATCACTTCAAGGACGTTTACCTAAGCTCACAAAGCGAATGAAGAAGATATGTGCAACTCTAGTGAAGGATAATTCTATCTTGGACTTGGTGGAGAATCTTGACAATTTCACTGGTAAGCAACCCAAATATTGTTTATATTATGATTTAATTTGGTATTTTTTTTTTAGGAAATTATTTTGGCATTGTTGACTGTGGTTCTAGCTTTTTACTGTATTTGCTATAACTTACTAACTTTTTAAAAAGATTCTTTAGATATATGGCTTGGTGTATATATTTAGTAGGCACAAATGTTAATTTGTATCTGATAAATAGGTTACAGCCCTTATATTTGATCAAATACTCTTCAAGGCACTTTGTGAACATTCATCTATGTTTCTTTCAAGAGCCCTTAATCATGTAGCTGACAGCAAGGGGCCACTCAGTCTAATTACAAGTTGTTCTGGAAGTATAAGAAATCTGGCAAATTAAACTCTGTGAATTTGTAAAATAAACCCCAGGCCTGAAAATGAGACAGAAATAACTTTTGAAATGGATTGAATGTTGTATTAAACCTATTGTCAAAGAAAGTGTGTAATTAATTGAGCAAAATAGTACATCATAGGACAACAATTTTTAAATCATGGTACCTCAAATGGTCCAACTTACAGAATGGATCCCATGACTCCAGTAGAGTTTAAATTGAGCAAATTTATGATTGCTTTAGTACTGCCGGGCCAACATACTGCTACTTGGAGGTTCAGGAAACTGGTTCCACCCTAGCCTTCTGGAGGCCAGGTGGACTGGTCCTAGCATTGGCTGCTGAAAGCTGGTCAGCTACAGTCAAGCTGGCATGAAGTTAGAAATCACTCTTTTTTGTCCTTGGTCGTTATATTTCTTTGTTTAGATAAGGAAATCTCTCTAAAACAGGGGTCTTCAAACTTGGTCCTTTTATGACTTGTGGACTTCAACTCCCAGAATTCCTCAGCCAGCGTGCCTGGCTGAGGAATTCTGGGAGTTGAAGTCCACAAGTCATAAAAGGGCCAAGTTTGAAGACCTTTGCTCTAGTCTAAAACAATGACCCCATAGCTCACTGGTAGTGTAGTTTTAATACTAGTCAATATTAAAAGTAAAATATTTGTATACTGCTCTTTCTCTTGGAGAAAACCAGACTAGCATACAAAAAAGAAAATATAATTTGAGTGACTGTGATGCTCCTGTTGATTCTTCTCCTCCTTGCAGGTGACGTAATTTCTTCTGCCCACAAGTTACAGAACATGTCCGTGAATTCAACTTTAGAAAAGGAAAAACAGAAATCTGAAGCCAAACACTTACTTCTGCAAAAACAAAGGGCGCTAGCAGAGCTCTTTAAATACCTTGCAACTACAGGTTAGTTAAATGAAAGTTCTTATAACATGTTATGTAAATTTTCCTTTTTATTTAATGAAAATTAAGGTAATTTCCCTAAACTGTAGGACTTGCATAAACCATAATCACTACTATTTGTATCCAAAAGAAAACATGCCCTTGGTTTTTGGGGCTCACTCATAGAATAGATTTCATGCATTGTCAAGCAATTAGTTTTTCGTCGTGGAAACATATATAATAACATAAGAAAAGAATGAGTGTGAAACAGTTGCATGTGGATAACAAATAGTAGTGATTATGGTTTATGCAAGTCCTACAGTTTTACGGATCTCCTCTGAATATACCCTGGTACTTTATATTGATTGTTTTCCCACCAGTCATGAAGTCTGCATATGATGAGGAATTACCTTAGTTTTCATTAAATAAAAAGGGAAAAAACAGGGACAATACAAAACCGTTTAATCTATCTCTAGCTAAGTTTGCTGGAGTAGAGAAACTCCAGCACTTATCTCACTAGGCTTTTATTCCATTGTTGCCTCTCCAAAGAAATCTTCTCCATCGCCTGCCATCTCATTCTCTTAAATCAGAGGTGCTAGTGCAGGCATGTCAAACTCGCAATGTCAGGTGATGTTGCGTGATGTATCGTGACTTCTTCCCCATTGCCGGCAATGGGGTGGGCGCGGTTTCGGCGTGATGCATCCGGCCTGCGGGCTAGCAGTTTGACATCCCTGTGCTAATGCTTGAGCCTGTGTCTTCTAAATGAAAAGCATGTTCTAGACCAGGGGTCTTCAAACTTGGCCCTTTTATGACTTGTGGACTTCAACTCCCAGAATTCCTCAACCAGCATATGCTGACTGAGGAATTCTGGGAGTTGAAGTCCACAAGCCATAAAAGGGCCAAGTTTGAAGACCCCTGGTCTAGACCTCTAAATTCCTTGTTTCAGAGAATTTGGATCATCTTCACATACTTTTCCTTATTTGAATATTGTTACTTTTAGACAATACTGTAGTTTAAATAAGATCTAAATGAATTGGAATGAGAAGAGATAATGGTGAGGGAAGTCATGTGATGAGCCTATATTTTAATATCCAATCATAATTTGGGCAGATACATAAACTGCGATAATTCATTCATAAATCATGCCAGGTCAATATTTTAAATTACAACTGGTTGAACAAGCTTAACGATGCTAAACCATAATTGATGTTTTGTATCACATTAATTTACAAATAAAGAAAATTCATGAGGTGTGAAGAAAATCTATCCAGTATGTCGGTCCAATGATGATAGTTCCTATTATTTTATTGGAATTCTGATAGGCACACATTCCAAACGAGCACTAGATTTGGATTCTTAAGCTGTTTGAGTAGATTTGCAAAAAAAATATTTAATATTATAGATCTGAGAAAGATAAAAAATACTGTCAGTTTGATATAGTGATTAAAAGGCTACCTAGAAACCAAGAGACTGCGAGTTCTAGTCATGCCTTAGGCATGAAAGCCAATTAGGTGACCTTGGGCCAGTCATTCTCCCCTAGCCCAATCCACCTCACAGGGTTGTTATTTTGGGGGAAATGGGAAGAGGAAGGAGTAATTACGTATATTCGTTGCTTTGAATTATTTATAAAAATAATAAAGACGGAATAAAAACCTGATAAATATCTTTCAGGATTATCATATCGCAAAGGCCTGACTTGGTCTCGTTCCAAAAGTTCCCAAGATATGCTTTTCCTTCATCCATTGGATTTAAACAGAGCATTGGCTTTGGTTAACTGCACACAAAAATTGGATGCACCGTATGTATTATTTTAGTTCTGTACTATAATAAAGTCTTGATGTCAGAAAGGGTGGCAAAAATATTTTCTTGGATTTTTGAAATCTAGTCTAGGGAGATAATTGATTCGGTTATTTTAAAATCAGATTAAGCATGATGAATATCCTATTGTTTTCTCCTTATGGGATTATTTTTAACTTCGGCCAATAACAATCTGAAAGGTGTGGGTCTTTGGCCTTTGTTTCTGCTGATGTTCTGATCAGAGATCCTCTCCCTGCTCTTTTCAGTAAAAACAAACACTTTGTGGAAATTAATAAGATTTTCTGGAAGTAATTACGCAGCAGGGAAAGCCAATAAAGATCAGTTATCCAACTTAAGTATATAATCAAATGCTAATCAAGAATTTGCAAGCTGTAGATTTTGTTTTATTATATGCTATCATATGAAGACTTTGAGGTGTTCTGCCTTTTTCTGTTAGGGCACGGATTTGTTATAATCTCACAACTAAAGTAGTTTGTGTGGCCCCTTTTATGAATAAATATTTCTATGATTGGAAGATGGTTTTGGCAGAAGACTAGGCCCATAGATCTGATCTTCGATCAAAACTCACTCTGGGTTTTGTTTATCAGTTTGCCTCCTCAAGCCTTATAAGCTTAAAAAAGTTGTGACTCCGTGTAAGTTGTTTACAACCCCATGTGGGCTTCAACCAAAGTTTGGATACCTCTGTCTTAAGGGATTCAAACTGTTTTGCTTTTCAGGTTACTCTCTCAAATCTCTCTGTCCTGGGATGGATGCCAGAAATACTTCTATCAATCTCTTGCACATCACTGTAGGCTTCAGACAGCATTATTAGCACCTTCAAAGGTAAAATCCCCGGAGCCAATGTAACATACTTGTTTTTGGTGTTAGGCTTTGGCCATGGAGACATAGGCCTTAAATCCTTTCTTGTCCATAAAGCTCATTGAGTGTCTTTGGGTCAGTCACTTTCTCTCAGTGCAACCTACCTTATACAGAGTAGTTGCTTTGGACAACATGAGAGTAATTTCCAATATATATCAGCTTGAACTCCACAAGGAAAATGGGGAAGTAAAAAGTAATGAAGCAAAACCAGAAGTTTTATTTCTTTTCAATTTGTCACTAAGTGAGATAGCACCACTCACTCTAAGACTTGGTATTCTCTTATAACTGATGTACACTTTCTTAGAATGTGTGCCCTTTAGTTGTAGACTAGACTTCCCCTGTATGGTGAAATCTAGGTGTTTTGGGCTACGACTACCATCATCCCCAGCCCTTGACTGCTATTAAAAAAAATAGAAAAATAGAATTCTTTATTGGCCAAGTGTGATTAGACAAAGAATTTGTCTCCGGTGCATAAACTCTCAGTGTACATACAATCAACAAGTGATAAATCATGATCATAATCATCATAAAATACAGTCATTATAAATCATAAGACACAACACTTACTGATAGTCATAGGATAATAATGGCTGAGGACATTGAGAGTCACAATTTAACACATTGGAGGGCACCATAGAGACAAGAATATTGTGAAATTATGTGGCAATTAAGTGAAGAAATGCAGTTGGATAACTATACCATTTAATTACATCTTTAGCAGCTGGCTGCATTTAATAATAAACCCTATATATGCAGAAGGCTTAATTAGTCACTTTAATTTAGGTGTGGAATAAATTTGCAATGTAATTTTATGTAAATCTCAAAGTAACTGAAGGGGAATTAAAAACAATGTGCAAAATCATATCTAACTAGTTGACTGTGTAGCCTATAACTCCAAACCTTTTACAGCTATTATTAGAGGAACTTGTTTTGATAAACAGAAGGAGAAAAGTTGCTACCTTTTTCCATAGGAGATTGGAGTAAGTACTGTTGAGCGATGTAAAGGATTCACTGCTCACCTCATGAAGATGCTTATCAAACAGAGGAAGTCTCTCACTGCTTTGACAGAACAGTGGGTTTTCCTGAGGTATTGTTTTTCTATTTTCTATATATATATATATTCCAAACTAAGAAGAGCCTTTTCTAGAACTGTATGCAGGTAGTCCTCACTTACCAACTGCAGTTGAGACCAGCAATTATGTCGCTACGCTACATGGTCATAAAATGCAACATCACATGATATCTGCCATCTAACTGTCAGTTCCAACTACAGACTTAAGGAAATCACCTGCAGTCATTAAGCACAATGTCACATACCCACAACTTGCGACTTCCTGCCAACTTTTCCACTGATATGCTTGTCAGAAGCTGGCTATCAAAGTTACAAATGGTAATCATGTGACATGGGGGGGTGCTGTGTAACCATTGCAAATGGTACCAGTTGCCAAAAGCCTGAATGATCGGGTTTGCTGAGTCATTGAGGGGTGTGTTTAAAATTCATCCTGGGCTTTGCTTGCCACTTTGCCCAAGTTATGGCCTGGCCCAGACAAAGTGGGAGCAAAGTTTGACAGCATTTCCGCTGTCTGAGGAAACCTCACTGGATGATTGAAGTACCACAAAATTTGAGAACCCTGTGATACAAAAAATAAAATGTAATTGCTTAATTGGTACATCATATAGTTACATATCCCATCTCTAAGCCCAATTAAATCATTAATTTTATTCACAAATATGTCTTTCAGTTTTTAAAATATTTGGTTTTCTCATACTTAGGGGTTATTTAATAATTGCTGAATTGGTCTAATTTCAGTTTTTTTTTTTCATAGCAGGATTTTTTTTTTCCCATTGTAAGCCTGGCTAAAGAAAATGAAACAGAAATTATTAGGTTATCATTCTTTTGGAGACAGTCTTGCTCACCTGAGATTACCATTATTATCCCTGTCATCATTCAGATCTTTCTCAGTCTGTCCTAAGAATTCAGTTCCCTTCTTTCTCTGGTTGAAGGCACCAATTGGGAAAAGCTTGAATAGACAAACCCACAAGCTTCTTGGGTGTCTTGGAAAACAAATTCAGAAGAAAAATAGCTTTCTTACAGGATAGTGAGAAATCAAGTACATAATGTAGAAAAAAACAAAACATTTAGGGAAAGCTTTATATCCAAATCTAATAAGAGCTAAAATAGTGTACTTGAATTGTAATAATTGTATTTTAATTACCAATAAATCTGTTAACTATATGAATCTCTTGAACAGGAATCAGTTAAGCTGTATACAAGAGATTGAGGCCAGGCTGTCTCCTGGAAGTGAATATGAAGTGGTTTTCCCTCCCCAAGATGGCGTTCGGCAGTGGACTGACAGATTGCAGTATCTTTCCATGCAGTGTGCAGTGCTTCTAGAACAGCTGTCTTGGTTTATAGAATGCTGTCCAGAAGACCAAAGCTTGAACACCTCTAGGACAGAAATAAAATCTGAAGGGATGGAATTGAATTCTTCCACTATTCTAAAGTCACTTCCGGAACTGGATCCCTCAGAGATACAATATCTCACTCCAATGAGTCCAGAACAGCTGCCTACTGCATGCAGGATGCGGAAGCAGGATACGATATATCAACAGCTGGCTTCCAAGGTGAAAGAGATGCTAGTAGAGGTGAAGGCAGTAAAATCAGATGTGGACAGAATAAAGCAGGTGTCTTCCGAGACTCTCTTCCATTCCTGGTAAGTGAGATGCAGCCTATCATACTGGGACAAAAAAAAGGGGTTGCATTTGTTTGCAAGCTGCATGTAACTGCCTCAGTAGGATTGTACGTTTTCTGAAGGTTGTGCCATAGGAAGGTTAAACCAGTCTTGTAATCAGAGTCCATCATGCTTCAAGGAGATATTCAGTGCTATTGGAAGCTGATAGCCTTGCCATGTTGGTGTTCCTGTTTCAATCTGAACATTCAGGCGGAATAGGGTTGTGAACAGCTTACTTTCACATTTCCAAATGTTTACAGTCTGTAGTGAGCAGAGTACTGGCATGTGCAGATGCACACCCATAGTGATACCAACAGTGCTAAACCAGAAAGCAAATCCTGTCCATAGGAGCCCCAAGGCAAATGAGACCATAGATGAACATAGTCCAGGAACAGTTCAAAGTCCAGGTGTCAAAAGATAGTCAGCAGGTCCTGGGTTGAAAAGCTGAGACTTGGGTAGCATATGGGTTTTTCCCAATGGAGGAGCTGGCAATTGCATTGTGTAATGGGCTCTGTGAGTAACCTTGAGAGATGGGAGGAAGAGCTGCCCCCTAGACCAGGGGTAGGTAACCTTGGCTCTTTTATGATTCGTGGACTTCAACTCCCAGAATTCTGGGCTGGCTCAGGAATTCTGGGAGTTGAAGTCCACGAGTCATAAAAGAGCCAAAGTTACCCCTGCCCTAGACAATGGTCTGGTAAAACCAATTTGTGTAGGCATCTGAGAGCTGATCTTCTCTAGTTCTCTGGAAGATAAAAGGCTGAGAGGGGAGAAGTGTATTCAGACTTGCAAGATTGGTATTAGCTCCTCAAAGTAGTCCAAACTAAGTAAGCAACATTATGAATACTAGTACTACTTTTATTGTAAAGTTACAGTGACAGAACCTTGCAAATATTTATGCAGGAATATTGAAAATTCAAAAGGATCCACAATCTTTTAGATACCATACCATATACTTACAGGATTGCACTTGTACTTTCTGACTCAAACAATAGTTTTCCATATGCAGGCACTCTTGAGACCAACACTTTTCAAATAGATTTTTCACGATGGGGCAAAATAAGTGTGACATAGATGATGGGCTGTTTACCAGAACATATTTTAACAATCTGCTGCATACAGTCCCTGGCATTCTTTTATGCCCAGGGAATTTTCGAGCAAAGTCATACATTACTTTGTGCATTGTAATAAATTAGCTTTCTCCTGATGTTTACACTTTATTCTTAAATTTAGATATTCTAAAAATTGGCTGTAATTTTTTTAGTGGGACCCCAAGCAAAATTGTTAAGTCAGAGATGGGAATCTTCTCTAACTAACTTGTCATTATTTTATGCGCGATTACCTTTTTTTACTCTTTTTTTTTCTCCTCATAACTGAACATTTCTGTTTTTTAGTTAGCATTTAATGAAATGAATAATTAATATTCTAATAGAACCAGTATTTCTCTATATCAAAAGATTATTTCCCAAATATTAAAAATAATTATTATGAAATGCCTAGTAAAGTTGAATATCAACTTCCTCCTTCGTATTTAAAAACATTCATACATGGCTGGATTTTTGATCGTTAGTTGTTGTAAGTTGAGTTGCCACGTGACTGGACTCCATTTTGCAACCATTTTTATGCTGGTTGTTAAGCAAATCACGGTGGTGTATTGTAACAAAAGTCTATTAATATTTTCTGCTTGCTGCTTTCTCTTTTTTTTTTTTTTTTCCAATAAAATTTTTATTATTTTTATCATAAAAAAACATCACAAATGTACCACAATGTTATATAAGAAAAACCCACATCCCCCACCCACCCACCCCCCGAGACTTCCCAAACCTAATCCCAGGATAATATTCAAATATAAGTAAACAAATATTAATATCTCTAACTCCACAAGGTATATAAATTTTACATGAGTAAGTGAAATATATATATAAAAAGAAAAAAAAACC